CCCCATCCCCACCATTCCCCCCCTTTAGTTCATGACCATGTGTCTCAAGTCCTTTAGAGTCTATATTTCCCATGCTATTCTTGCCCCCCCTTCTATTTTCTATCTACTGTCTATGCTACTTATTTTCTGTACCTTCTCCCCCCTTCTCCTCCTCCCACTCCCCTGTTGCTAACCCTCCTTGAGATCTTCATTTCTATGTTTCCACTCCTGATCTAGCTGTCCTTTTAGTTTGCTTTCATTTTAGGTGTGGTTGTTAATAACTGTGAGTTTGTTAAGAGACCTTACAGGCAAGAAGGGGCTGGAAAGAGGTATTCCAAGTCATGAAATCCAAAGACCTACAACCAAGATTGCTCTATTCAGCAAAACTTTCATTTAGAATGGAAGGACAGATAAGGTGCTTCTCAGATAAGATCAAATTCAAGGAGTTCATCATCACCAAGCCCTTATTATATGAAATGTTAAAGGGACTTATCTAAGGCTTTTTTTTTAAAGATTTTATTTATTTATTCATCTTTAGAGGGGAAGAGAAGGAGAGAGGGAGAGAAACATCAATGTACGGTTGCCTTTCGTGCGTCCCCTGCTGGAAACTGGCCTGCAGGGAACCAGCCTGCATCCCTGGCATGTGCCCCAACCAGGAATCGAACCGCGACTGTCTGGTTCGCAGGCCTGCGCTCAATCCACTGAGCTACACCAGCCAGGGCCTACACAAGGCTTTAAGTATTTGTGGACTTAAGTATTTAGGCATCTGTGGGGGCCTTGAAACTAACCAAGCCCTTGGAACTAACCAGGGGACAACTGTCTTTCCAATGTCTTCACAGTGGCAACTTCTTTCGCTCACCTTTTCCAGGCTCGTCTTTGTCTCGTCTAGAAAAGAAACTCTGATGCTTCCAGTGAGCTCAGATGCCCTCTTCTCCTGTTTCAGCCTGTGCTGCCGCCTTCTGCACTAGGGTCAGATTCCTGTGCCACTGCCCGGAAAACACGTTAGTCATGCTCCTCCGAGTCAGGGCTTCCGCTGCTGGCATTCAGGTGTCGAGCTGTAATCACTGGTGATATATTTAGATTTTTAGCTCATATTGCATTTGAACATTAAATATATGTCAACAAGACAGTAAATGGCCCTCCTTTGGTTGGGAAGCAGTGTTTGGGCAGAATGCCACAACGACTTGTTCACAGTAACACTGATTCTTCGGCAGTTTACAGATGTTCATGGTCCAGATTCCTCTTTAACCAGGAAAAGTGAATTATTATCAGAGGCCATGGCAGCTTTTGAAGTCATTGTCTTTGAGTCTCAGAGCACAAAGTAAAGAGCATTCTGAGACAAATGACACCTCTGAAGAGAAACCAGCATTAGGAGTTCTGATAGATTTGATAATTAAAACAAAAGATGGTAGAGAGAAAGCTTTGTAATTTGTACAAACAAGATGGCAGCTGCTACTGCGGCAGGATAACTCCCTGGGGGTGGGGCGGGGTTGTGGGGGCAGGTGGGGAGTCCCTTCATGCTTTAGACGGGACAAGCCAGAGCAACACGGCTGAACAGGCCAGAGTCATCTTTCTGCTCTCAACAGACCAGACCAACAGGCAGGACTTTGGGGTGGAGCTGGAATGCCAGCTGCTCTCGGAGGAAAGCTGTGTCTGGGACTGGTTGAAGGGAGGGTGGAGCTGGTGGATAAGGAGGTTGTGAGTCAGGCCAGGAAAATTTTGAATGCTCAAGGGACCTAGATGAAAGGGTTAAATTTTCATGATCATATCGGCTTGTATGGCTTGGGGAAATCTGGGGGGAGTTCATCCAGTGTTTTTGAAAAAGTATCCATCATGTTATTTTAGATTATATTTATTTTTTTTATTTTTAGAGACAGGGGAAGGGAGGTAGAGAGGGAGAAACATCGATGTGTAAGGGACACATTAATTGGTCTCCTCTCGCACGTCCCCAGCTGGGGACCCTGCTGCAACCCAGGCATGTGCCCCAGTCCAAAATTGAACCAGCAACCTTTCAGTTCGCAGGCAGGCCAGCACTATCTTCACTGAGCCACACCAGCCAGGGCTTATCCAACATTTTAAGATTACAAAGAGGTAAAGAGTTTGGACTGGTAATAATGGAGACCATATGTATCGGTGTAATCACCCTGAATAAGGGCAAAACGTGGGCTTTGGAGAAGGACCTCAGAATGAGATCACAGTGGCACTGTGAAAACAGACAGTGTGATCGGGTAAAGAGAGACTGACCCTAGGATCTCACCAATTTGGAGTCAGAAGTGAACTGTAACCGCAGTTTCTGTATCAGAACAGCATATGATTAGACAAGCACTTGCGGGGGAAAAGCAAAGGCTAACCTGTGTTCTACTGCTCTGTAAGTACTACTGGTTATATTCATACTTGTATTTACGATGAAACAAAGTGACACGGGCTTTCTATAGGATGTTTTGGAGCCTTTAAAATGGTAACATTAACCTGTTGATGTTTCATGGCACACTGTTCAGGGGAATGCAAATTGAGAAAGGCTGATTTAACCTAATGTTGAAAAAGGCATGACCAAATTCACCATCGTATACAAGGAAAACATCGAAAGGGAGGAAAGTGTCCCAAAACATCAATAGTGAATGTTTCTGGTTGAATTATTTCTTTTACTTCTTTTCCATTATTTACTTTAATGAACCTCTATAAGGAACATGAATTTAAAAACAGCAGTGATGTAGTTGTAGGAAACCCACGTTGAAGTCAGAGTTTTAAAAGCTGTGTGACCTTGAACAGTTTCCTCAACCTCAACAAGTCCCAGTCTTCTCATCTGTAACATTGGAAAATGCCTACCCAATGGGTTTGCTATGAAGATTAAATAAATTATGGTGTCCACATCACTCAGCACAATGTCTGGGTGTCTACAGCACATACTGTAGATAAGAAATTGGAACATAAAGAGACATGGATCTGCCTTTTTGCTAGCTTATCTGAAGGCTAGGGAGGTAGGATATAGTAATTATTATTGAGTGATTGGAGTTTTGAACAGATACTACACTTGATCTTAGCCAAGAAGCTAGAATCGATAAGTGATCAGAGTTTTAGAGGGTATGATGGGGTGCTGGTTTGATGGAGGGCACCAGTCCACTCACTCTGACATCCGGGAGACCAGAAAGCACCATTACTGGAGCTTTTAGCTTTCCCCGAAGAAGACTGCAGAGGCTACTCCAGAGTGTGGGACCATATTGGCGGCGATGATTATGAATTCTCATCCGAGCACCTTCTGTCTCATGGTGAGCAGCCTACAAATACTGAATTTTTAAAACAAGCAAGCAAGCAAGCAAGCAAGCAAACAAACACCTTCATACACCCTCTGGATTGCTTGGAACTAAATTTAACCATTGTACCAGAGAAAGGCATTTAACAACCTCCATTTTCTAATGCCCTCAGAATAACTCTGCTGAATGGAAAGAACTTGTGCTTCAACCCCAGTGCCTTGCACATTATTCTGGCAACTTCGTTGCTTCACAGTTATGATTCTTGGAAACTTGTCGTAAAGATTCTTCAGAATTCTTAAATACTTTTTTTCTGACTTCATTTATTTAAATACCCCGGAATAGCCTCTCGAACTATAAGTTTGACATCCAGGAAACTATTTATAGCAGGATGAGTACTCTCTGTGACTGATGTTAATGTTTTATTTTGAGAAGGACAAATCCTTAAAAAGATTGATAGGGTTGATGGTATTTTAAACTGAAAGCTGTGCCAAGGCAATTATGGCAAGTGGATATGAAATCGGAACACAAAGAGATATTGGTGTGCTTTCTGCCAGTTTAGCTAAAGGCTGGGGAGGCCTCCCACAAGACAGAGCCTGCAAGCCAGACTTAGTGATCTTATTAGGTGGGTCAGGCACTGCAGCCCAGGGGGGCCTGGCCTCTGCTCAGCGTTAAATAACCCAGAGTAGACTAATGGATACAGACCGTCATAATTAAAGTCAATACTTCCCTTGTTGTTATTGATATCCCTCTAGGCAGGAGAAAAACAGGAGCTAGAGGATGGAAGGTCAAAGTCAACCTAACTTGTAAAAAAATATATAACTTTGGCTGTGGCTGGTATAGGTCAGTGGATTGAGCGTGAACTGTGATTACTTTGATCTAGAGTAATCAACCAAAAGGTTGCTAGTTTGATTCCCAGTCAGGGTAATAGGGGACTTAAGAGTTGGAAATTTTTAGTTTAAATAATAGCTAATAAACTTAGTAATCAATGCATGTAAAAGCTTTTGTTCCAGGAACTGAAGGTATGACCCACCCTGACTCCAGGAGACCATAAGCAGTTCCACCTTTATTTCTGAGTGGGACTGTACGCAGTTCAAGATGGTATCTGAGCCACTGTACTCCAGGGTGTGATGACCACGCACAGGACACAGCTTAAGACCAGAGCATAGGACAAGAACGCTGGATTTTTTCTAATTCAATTAACTTTTTCCTGAATTTCAAAACCTCTCACCACACCTTGTTTATTTCCTGCTATAAAAACCGTGGCCTGGAAAGAAAAGATGGTCTGTTAGGGTGTGAACCCGCCACTTTGTCAGGTCGCCGGCAGTCTGAATAAAGCGCCCATAAAGATTCAATCCCTGTCTCTGCTTATTGGGCTTGGTAGTAACAGGCAGCCCGAACTCTGGCATCTTTTCCTGCTTCAAGGGCACATACCTGGTTTGTGGGCCAGGTCCCCAGCCGGGGCTACCATGAACAGCAACCACACATTGATGTTTCTCCCCCCCTCTTTAAAAAATAAATTAAATAAAAAAAATACAACTCTAGGTTCTGGGGGCCCTTAAAAGATAGAATCACAAAGTAAATATTCAGAACAAGAAATTACAACAAATTACTGGAGACCTGGAGATTCAGATTCCCCTTCTTCTGAAATCTCATTAAGCAATTTATCAGATATGCTTATTACACAGAATTGCTTCGTGAGAGCCTTCCCCTAGGCACCTGGAACACTAACTCTAAGCCACGCCCTGTTCTCTCAGGTCCCTTTAAGATTCATTAGTCCCAGGATCAAGGTCTGGAGAGTGGGTAATTTCTGCCAGTTTTGAAACCGGGAGGGAAAGCAAGCCTGGCAGAGGTACCCATTCCATTCCCCGCTTGCTTAGTCGCTGGTGATTGGAAGACACTCTACAACGTTAAAAAAAATTCATTAGCTTCGTGTAATTCTAACACTTTACTGGCTGGTAGCTTATTAACTACGTCTCTTGCATCCAATTCAGGGCAGGTTCTTGGAATATGTTAGGGATTAAAAGGTTTAAGTCCTGTAGACCCCCCAGTCTCATCTAAGGACAGGAGTGGTTTAGAGAACCCTGAAATGCTGAAGGGGAAAAAAAAAAACCAAACCCCACAAGGCGGTGGGATTGAGTAGATTCCTTCCCTCTGTCGGGGAGGGCGCTGTCTTTAATTTTGATTCTGCTAGATTTAAGGCCCTACTCCGGGCCGTGTTGTTACAGCTGCCCTCGCCTCAACCAGCCAATCTCGCTCCCATTTTCGGGTCCCAACACAAACTGAGGCGCAGGAAGTCCCACCACCGGTAGTTTCTTTTGATGTAAAGAAAAACGGCGAAGCAGGCCAGAGGCACTTCCTCACTACTTTGCTTACAAGCCGGCTACCCACTCTCCTTTCTTTTGGAAGGAGAGGTTTTTTACTGCTTTCTGCCTTCGTGAAAGGCAGCTGCAGCACATTCCATGCGCATGTTGTTACTCAGCTCCGCCTCTCAACCATTTTCTACCCTCCAGGGTTGTCTTGCCTGGACATGACGTACGCTTGTACGTAACTGGAGGGCGGGACCTCAAAAGGAAAAACGTTTGAGCCGAGGTCTCGCGAGAACATTTCTTTCCTTCTCAGTTCTCGCTCCGCAGCTTCATTCTCGTCGCAACGAGATCTTTCGAGATCTTCTCCGCCCCCGCTACCCGGCGCTTCCACTGTGGCCGCTCAGCCGGAGCCGGCCCGGGCAGCACGCTGTGCAGCGGATCCATTTAAGAGGCCCTAGGCCCTCGCGTGGGCACCCCCACGTCCCCACTAACACCGGTCCCCTGGCCTACGCGGCCCGCTCTCCGCGCTCCAGCCCCACCGAGGTCTGTGTCCTGTCTCGCCGGCCGGACCCGGGCTCGAGCCCGAGCTTTAGCTGGCGCCATGTCGGTGGTAGGCATAGACCTCGGCTTCCAGAGCTGCTACGTTGCTGTGGCACGCGCCGGCGGCATCGAGACCATAGCTAATGAGTACAGCGACCGCTGCACGCCGTAAGTGTGGGCCAGGCCGGCCGCGTGAGCTGGGGGATTGGGGTGGTACCAGTTCGGCTCTGCGACCCTCGCGGCTGGAGAACACGGGCCGGGGAGTCATATCCGTTCCGAGCCAGAGGCTCGGGGGTAGGGGACCCCCACTGGGTGCCAGGTTACTAATTGTCACGACTTGCCGCGTGGGTCTGCGCCAGGAGCGAGGCCTTTTTCCGGTAGCTCGCCAGCTAAGGGAAGGCTGTGAACTGGTACTCGGACCAGCGGAGAGCCCCCCGGGTAGGAGCTGGAGGGAAGGCAGGTCTGGGATTTAGGGTGGACCGGGATACTCTTCCAGCAGGGAGAGATCAGGCGCAGGGCACACTGACGTTTCTTGAACTTAACACAGAGTTCGTAGCTTTGCACACAGCAGGCACTTAAAAGTTGAACGGGTGCTGTCGTCTGCCGGCAGTAAGGAGGTGAAGCGGCCGGAGTCCCACGTGAGTGGGGGCGGGGCGGCGCCCGGAAGCTGGGGAGCAGGAGAACCTGCGCCTCGGCTGCGGGAGGACCAGGGTTCTTAGTTTGGGGTGGTGATATAACAGACACCGGGAAAGGACTTAATAAAATTGATTCTGTGTCCATACACTTGCATTCACTTTGTTTTCTCACATCCTTTCAGTATATTGAACTATGGGTCATTCTCTGCTATTCTGTGCGCATCCTCTTACACAGTAATACATTCCAACCAGCGTGTTGGCTGCAATTGCTATTTATTTATTTATTTATTTATTTATTTATTTATTTTCATACTTTTGAGAGGGAGGGAGAGAGGAAGGAGAGAAACAAACATAGATTTGTTGTTCTACTGATTTATGCATTCATTGGTTGATTCTTGTATGTGCCCTGTCAGTGATGAACTGCAACCTAAGACTGCACTCTGAGTACCCTACCTTGCCCAGGACTAGGCCACAGTTAATGAATGACTCGGGCTCACTTTCACTTGTAGAACCTGTAGTAAATTATGGGACCAGTACAGACACAGTTATAAAAAGTCATAACTCACCCAGGTCTTGTCTTAGAGTAAAATAATCTGCTTTTTGAGTACACAGAGAAACCTTTCAGTCCACTGTCTACCTCTTGGACAAAATCTTTCAAGCTTTATACTATTTGCTAGGTTCTCAGTGTGGCAGTTCATGGGCACGTGTTCATCCTAAAGTGCAGTTTTCACCCCGACTTTTGTCATGCTTCTTAAGCAGATTGTTAGTCAAACTAGTATCCGGTCTCCTAGCCTGATCTTTGCTATCTAGAGGGATCACAACATTTCCCTTCCACTTATCAAATTTCTGCCTCTTATTTTAAAAGATTTTACTTATTTATCTTTAGAGGGGAAGGGAAGGAGAGGGAGAGAAATATCAATGTATGGTTGCTTCTTGTGCATTCCCTGCTGGGAACTGGCCTGCAACCCAGGCATGTGCCCTGACTGGGAATCGAACTGCCATCCTTTGGTTCGCAGGCCCATGCTCAATCCACTGAGGTACACCAGCCGGGGCTCTGCCCCTTATTTTAGAGCTAACCCAGGTGCTTTCCCTAAAAACCCACCCCAGATCCCCAAATGAACTTTGATGGTCCTTTGTTATTTTGTTTTTAGTTTTTAACAGCTTTATTGAGATATAATTTAAAGTGTGCAGTTAGATTGAGTTTGTGTAGTCACAAATTTGTGCAACAATCAATTTTAAAAGATTTTCATCAGTCCCCAAAGCATACATCCTACTCCCCTTGCCCCTGGCTGTTTTTGTAGTTTTTAACAATGGGTATGTTCTGATTTGTGTTTCCAGGGAAGTGTATTGTATATTGAAACTATTTGTAAAGCATTAACGTTTGTTTTTAAGTATTTAAGCATTAATTTCCTACATGATACTGTCTTCCTCTCTGGATCCTAGTTTTCTTCATTGGTAAAGAGCTGGAGAGCTTGAGTTGGTTGCATAACATCTTGGTTCTTTCTTGCCTAGAATTGAACAGACTTTGCCAGAGGGAAGAGAATCCCAGATACCAGAGCCAGCGGTGTTCCTGTCCTTTCTTTTAGGCTGTTACCTTAGGCTCTAAATTTTTAAAAGACAAACAGCAATTGATTGCCACAATTTTAACATAAATTCCATTATTTAAAACTGAGTTCTTTAAAGAACTTAATGTTTCCATTTCACAATTAAATATGTCTCACAGACTAAGTGACCAGATACAGTATGTAATTGTGATAAAATGCTTTTTAAATACTTTAAGTGATATATTAACTTGTATGTTTTCTTGTGTATTTCCCTTATATTTTATTTTTTATTCCTCAGGAACTTACAGGGATGCCATACACCCAAATAATTTTTTAAAAAATATCTTCACCAGAGGATAGTTTTCATTGCTTTGAGAGGGGAGGAGGGGAATGTCAGTGTGAGAGAGAAACATTGTTGGTTGCCTTCTCATATGATCCCTGACCAGGAATCAGACCTGGGGCCTTTTGGTTTATGGGCTGGTGCTCCAACCAACTGAGACACACCAGCCAGGGCCAAGTAAATTTTTTTTTTTAAAGATTTTTATTTATTTATATATAGAGAGGGGAAAGGAGGGAGAAAGAGAGGGAGCGAAACATCTGTGTGTGGTTGCCTCTCACATGGCCCGCACTGGGGACCTGGTCTGCAACCCAGGCATTAAGTTGTCCTGACTGGGAATTGAACTGGTTCACAGCCCGAGCTCATTCCACTGAGCTACACCAGCCAGGGCCCAAGTAATTTTTTTGAACAGATTTTGATTAGCTGAGATTTCTGTGGAGGTGTCTGTCTGACTAAGTAACATGGGAGTGAGAGAGGCTGGTCTTTTGTAGTGGTTATGGAACAGTGGTTTCATCCCTTAGATAAACAGACTGCTGTGCGTGTCTTTTACTGTGAGAGTAGAGTGGGTTCTGAGGGTTAGCTATGATGAAATTACCTTATTTCTTTCCTTTTTTTAAAGGTTGTATTTATTTATTTTTAGAGAGAGGTGAAAGGAGGGAGAAAGAGGAGGAGAAACATCAATGGTTGACTCTGGAGCGCCCCTGCTGGAGACCTGGCCCACAACCCAGGCATGTGAGCGCCCAACTGAGCTTGACCAGGCATGGGAATAGAACTGGCGACCCTTTGGTTCACAGGCTGGCGCTCAATCCACTGAGCTACATCAGCCAGGGCTGGATTCAGTTTTTGAGGAACTAGCTGAGTCTTACCCAGAAGAGTCACTTGCTTCCCCACCAAATTTAGGTTTCTTTTACTTTAGTAAATATGCCAGCCATTGTGCTAACCACTGGAAGTGTCCTGATGATGAATAAACAAGATCGCACCATCATGGATGCTAAACAAACATATGTGACTGCTTACTGTGGGAAGGGCCCTGGTGGGAAAGTAGAGGGCACAACGACACGGGGACCTAATTCAAATTGTATGTGGGGTGGGGATGGAAGGTGCTCTTTTTTTAAGATTTTATTTATTGCCCTAACTGGTGTGGCTCAGTTGGTATTGGCCCACAAAGTGAAAGGTCATGGGTTCGATTCCCAGTCAGGGTGCACGTGTGGGTTGTAGGTTTGGTCCCCAGTGCATATGAGAGACAGCCAACTGATTGATGATTCTTTCTCACACTGATGTTTCTTACCCCTCCTCCCTCCCTCCCCCCTCTCTAAAAATAAATAGAATCTTTTTTAAAAGAAGTGCCATTTATGCACCCCTGTGTTCATTGCAGTGTTAATCACAATAGCCAAGATTTGGAAGCAGTCCAAGTCTCCGTCAGTAGAAGAGTGGATAAAAAAGCCATGGTATACTTATACATTGGAACACTACTGGGCCATAAAAAAAAAAAAAGGAGCTCTTACCTCGGGTGACAGCAGGATGAACCTGAAGAGCATTATGCTAAGT